GAGACTCACCACGGCTTGTTTTTCTTATCTGAGGCAAAATTAGATTTTTTTTATCCCTAAAGATGTTGCTTGCCGGACAGATGCTAAGGACTGTTGGGCTTAGTGTGCTTTAGGCAAATACTGCACAACCCTTTCTATTCATCCAGAATTACTTTAAAATACTCTCCAAACAGACATAACACAAATTTGATGTTATTTCAATATGGTAATCTTGAGGGGAAATTATGAAATAAAGCACCAGTCTCACCAGAAAGATGAGACACAAATCTTTGCTGATCTCCTGCAGTTCAAGAGCTAACTACAGAGATGCTAGCTGCTAGCTGCCAAAGAGTTTGTCTGCTTTTTTCTACTGAAGTAGGCTACAAAGACTCTCTCTTGTGCTAACTGAGTCTTGGAAAGCTTGTTAGATTTGTTTCCAGTAGAACGATAAGATCAAACCTTAAATTCAAGCCATAGAGTCTCATGAGGGTCTGCGACCTCTCCTTTTTAACGAGGCAGTTTATAAAGGTTTAATTTAATGAGCTGTGAGGTCAAAGAGATTAACTCAAGCACAGATATGTGATTCCATTTAAACTAATGCAAGCTGAGCCAAAAAGAAGTAAACACTACACAACCCTGTTTTATGATCCCAACTTCCCCGCCGAGAGTTTCTGAACTTGAGTCTCTCACACGGGTCGCAGCCCTTCAGCAGTAAAATGTATTTTTCGGCTCTCGCCTCCTTCTCGATTGCCAGTGATGGATTCAAAGCACTTTGTAAATCCAGCCTTCTCTTATTGTGTGCAGTATTCATTGTGGTCGCCTACAAACACAGGGAGCAGATTTTACAAGATGATGTCATCACTTACCAAACAATTATTTACATCAAGCCATTGAAGGATTATGTGTTGCACAGTACAAAGTGTCTGTTGACTGTTGTGTGGAAAAACTAAAACTCTCCACTTTAACTGCTTGCTTCTATCATGCAATTTTTAACTTTCTTGTATTTTCTCTGTCTCTGACTGTTAACTGTAACATGTCTTTGAATACTGTGCCTCTGAATATACCTGTGCATATTAACGCCGGCTTCTACTATTACTACTACTACTACTACTTTGTTTGCTTTTGATTCCCATTTTTTGTTCAGTAACTCCTCCCACTGTCTTCTGAAATGAAATGAATTAAAGATGTGACTAAAAGCTAACTTCTCCTTTTGCTTCTTTCTTCTACCATCGTTAACAAACGTCTAATATCATTCACTGTTGCCGCACTAATAACCGATCAAATACCTCTGATTTTCAAAGCATGACATCATTCATTTGAGTAATTGTGTGTATGCATTGAGAGAGATTAATACATGGGTTTCAAATGAATATTTGTTAAGCATTTGGCCGTCAATACACATTTATTTTTTTAACTATATGGTTGTTGTCAGTAGTCATAAGAACAATTGAAGTCTTTCTTATTGCTTTAATTAACTCTAATAACCCCTATGAATCATAATTTTCTACCTTTTTTAGACGTTTCAAGACGATTAACCTGAAAACTAGATTAATCCTTATTCACTCGAGTGACTTTCTTTGCAGTCAGATGAATGCATTGCCTTAAAAGCTACGGTATTTGCTTGTGAAATTGAATAGAGTATGTAGCATGAAATACTATAAAAAGGCCAGTACTTCATATGTACAATACAGTAAATCTAGCCAACTCATTAAAAAACACATAATGCATTTAATCAAGTTTGTACAGAGTCCTCAAGCTAACATGCAGGGAAGTGGTTCTAATGAGCTTCAGTAGCTGCATAGTTCCTTTCATATCGTAAAATGCCTTATTCTCAAACGGGCCATTGTTTAAAATGAATACTTTGTGCTTTATGTATATTTGAATGGCAATACTTTCACACATGATTCCCATGAGACATTATTGTTATTGGCACATACATTAGTATATACATAAAAAAAGAATCTTACTTCCAAATCCATTGTTATTCATTATTCACCTCTCACACACTCACACATCACATAAACAGGGAAGGCCAGGAATGTTCATTCCTCCTTTTTTAATTAGCCAAGCCTGGAAGCTCTCGTGGGACACAAAAGAGTTCAACTGCTTTTGTTGGGCCTGTGGATTCAGCGGTTACCATGGCCACAAGAAAAGTAAAGGCTCAGCATTTGGACAGTTGAAAGAGGGAAGCTTCATGGTGCCTAAGGCCCTTTTTAGCCCTTCCTTTTAGCGCCCCGTGTCCCCTCATTGCTTGTATTCGTACATTTTTATATAAAGGATGTTTTGACTGTTTAAAAAGCTCAATGCTTGGTACTTTTTCTTTATCAGGAGACGCCACATACCTCGACATCTTCAGAGAATTTTCCCACATGGCATCCCACAACCCGGAGAAGCTGAAACGAAGGAGTGTACATTTCCGACACTCTTTCAGGTAGTCCGCCAATAAACATCTGGAGAGGGGCAAGATTGTCTACTTGAAAAGTCCCACAGCCACAATCCATCTGTAGCCACATCAGTTTAACATTACAATTAAACCTAACTATAGAAAATGGATCATATATCAGATAAAGTAAGTTGTCTGTTGTACTCATCTGAATTGCATTGAAGTGAAGAAACCATTGCAATTTCCAATGCTGTTATTCATTATCATTCATTTTTTCAATTACCTGCATTATATCTGCAAGATTCTTGTGCTGTTTTAGATCTTTTATTTTGCAATGAGGATATGCTGGTCGTGTCCTCTTAAAGGTTTAAATGAATTATGCATTGCTTTTATACAGTGTTAAATGAAACCTCTTGGATAAAATGCCAAGCACTTACGCTGCTTATTTTTTCTTTCTTTTTGTTTGTTTTTGGTATATGAGTCATTTGTTTGCTGCATCAGTTTAATTATCTGATGTGTGTAATGCGTGCATGTTTTTCCCATTATAGTTCACACCTAAACTTGAATTCAGCTCTGTTGCACGGTGTGACACATCGTCCACAGTCATCATCTTCAACAATCTTGAAATCGGAGGAATTTTTCTCATGATGCATTTTATTACCAATTCCTTTTTTTTGTATAGGCTATGCCGGTGTAGTCTTCATAATGTTTTCTTTAAAAGTATACTTTGCAGTACCACTATAAAGTGCAGCGCTTATGTTACTGTAAACATGCTGTAGAAGCAAATGAATGCTAATATATCTGAATGAACAGGAATGCAAAAATAAACATTGTCTGTGTTTACATATGCAGTAAGAGTTCTTTGTTAAGTTTTGCCACATACTTTATCTAGTCAGTACATTACATCTCCATGTAGCTAAAACAACAGCGCCCACTAGTGTTTATAGATGAGATCAGTTAGTACAAAATAATCCTCAACTTGCATCACTAAAAATATCTAATTGACCATAATACATTTATCTCTAATTGGGAGTTTATATTGTGGGTGACATACAAAGCAATATGTCAGCTCCCATACATATCCATACAGCCCACCAATAATAATCCCTACTTATTTTTGACTGTATTTTGGATTTGCACAAAATTTATTTCGTTTTTAACGTGCGGTTGACTATTTTCACTCTTTCCTTTATTCTATAAAAGCTGCACAACAATATCACTCAGGATGAATAGAGTGATCTTTTGTTTTTGACATTGATTTTAATTAGGTATACTATGGCATGCACATGCCCCAACTGCATCCAGGACAAGACTACACAGTCACCAGAGAACAATGGACAAGTGAATACATCTGGATGATCATAAATACCTCCTGCCTTTTAAACATCAACTACTGGTTTACTTCTTGTTATCATCCTCATAATAATAATAATAATAATAATAATAATTCCTCTATAATGGATTACTCCATGGATGAAGCCTACTTTTGGTACTTTATACGATATATAAAACCATTACCTCAAAACGAGGTACTTTTAACAAATGTAGCAACGTGATAACTTCCCGTAAAAGCCCCATCCGCTGAATCAGCTGCAGTTAGAATAAACTGTTTGAGTTTCGGAGTGAAACATCTGTCGGCCGACGGACGATCTTTGGCTGTGTCTCCGTTGACGTCCGTCGTCTCGCCGTCACGTCTTCCCGGTGCGAAGTAACGCGCGCGCTCGCACCGCGATGACGACGGATCGAAAGTGACCGTCACGACTTCCGTCTGCCACAAGTGACACCGCGCGCGTTCCGCTCTCGCGTGTCGCGCGATGTGACCGCGGCCTCCGGAGTCGGAAGTGACTCGGATGTTGCTTAGCCCGTTAGCTTAGCGGCTAGCTTAGCCTCCCTGCGTCCTGCTGCAGCTCCAGCTGATCAGCTGCAGCGTCGCGCAGGGGCCCCGGGGGAGGAGATCGCGATGCGGCCTTAGACGTCCGATCGGCGTCGGCTGTGTTCAGTCATCAAATGCAGGTATTGCCACTCGCGAATATGCACAACTGCAGTTTTGATTCTTTGCTTGTTGATGTGTGTGAGACCATCCGCTGTGTTGTGCAGGCTTGCTGCACAGTTCTATTCAGCGAATGCACATAACAACAGTCCTACATGGCAATAACCACTCAACTGAATAAAGAGACGCGACATCATTACTTGTCCTATTTCTGTACCCACACAATTTAATGGTAATCTTTCTGTATTTTATACCAAAGGGATTTCTGTGGCGCAGACATGTCCCTTTCTACCCTTTCAATTTTCAGTCTGGTTCATCTCTTTTACAGATTAATAATACGTGTGAGGCTGCTTTTGAGTTCATCTATTATCATAGTAACCGATAAAGACTCCAACCAACTTTTGATTAAGTGTGCGTGAAATCTTGTAAGCAAGCTTGTGTCAGAATTGGTTGTTGCCAAGTGATGCACGCGATTGAAGATGAATCAGTAACAATTAACGTACAGATGAACAACTTGATCCATTCCATAGCTTCTTTCCATCATCATCAGTGTGGTAAACTGCTTTGTACATCAAAGTCTTCCCTCTGTTTTATTTCATTTTCCAGATGTCCTGGTGACGGTCGCGGCCCATCTTTTAATCTGAAGCCATGGCGTCGCAGCCGGAGGTGTTCTCCTCTCCCTCCGTGTCCTCCAGTGCCTACTCTCGCTCCAAGAGGCTCAAAGTCGAGAACGCTGCCTGGGACGTGTCCCTTCAGCTGGGGGACGATGCTTACTACCAGCAGAGCCCCACGCAGGGAGCTGCGCCCTCCGCCTCCAGCTTCAACCCGGTGTACAACCCCAACCAGGCGCACCCGCCGACGGCCGGCTCCAGGGAGCAGACGGTGGTGCGGGCGGCGGACAGCACGGGCAGCGTCCGTGGACCTCCCTCGTCCTCCTCCTCATCGTCCTCCTCCAGCCGTCGGGCCAAGGAAGCCGCGTCCTCGTCCCAGCCGTGCGACCTCCTCCTCCTCCACCACAGGCAGTACGGCCTGAAGCGGACGAGCGAGGAGGTGGACAGCAGCGACAGCGTCCAGATACTGGAGGAGCTCTCGGCCCCCGTGGTCTCCAACCGCGCCGGGGCCGGAGGGGGCACCACCACCGCTCAGTCCATAGCGCATTCCACCTCCACCGCCAAGAGCAGCAACTCCCACAGCGAGGGAGACTACCAGCTGGTCCAGCACGAGATTCTGTGCTCGATGTCCAACAGCTACGAGGTGCTCGAGTTCCTGGGACGCGGCACCTTCGGCCAGGTGGCGAAATGCTGGAAACGGGGCACGAACGAGATCGTGGCGATAAAGATCTTGAAGAACCATCCCTCTTACGCTCGCCAAGGTCAAATAGAAGTGAGTATGCGGTAATTCAGAGGAACAAACGCTCCAAGGTGGATAGACGCTGATCTAATCCTTTTACCCTCAGTCTGCTCAGACGTTACAAAAACACAGGCCAGTTAGATCTTTATTAAGTCTGGTAATAATCAAGTTTTTAAATTTTCCAAGTGCAAACTACCCTTAAAACTTCTAGCACAACGTGACTTTTAATGGGGACAGTTTCCAAAATAAAGGCGAGGATAAATGGAGCTCAGGGTCCAGCTGACTCACTGTCTCCTGAGCATCTTGGGTTCACGTCATGTGGGATGGATGGTTTTAATGGGAAAGACATGTGACATCAACACTGTAGCATTATTAATAAGTTCATATCAACAATAGGACATCACGTCCAGTGATTTGGGGTTTAATAACTTGTTTTTTGCTCAATTTGAGAAGTTGTCTAGATCATACATTTTGGATATATCATAGATTTTGAAAAAGACGCCGAGATATTTTTAGTTCTATTTACAACTTTGAAGTTTACATGAATAATTTATAAAGAGATGAATTGCTTCTCGTGTCGTTACGGGAACTTCTCTCCTAAACTTCTACAAGCCTCGGGCCCAAAGGTTTACATGGTGTTTTCGTTATGTATCTACTAACCAACATCTTCCTCCCCTGCAGGTGAGCATCCTCAGCAGGCTGAGCACAGAGAACGCAGATGAGTTCAACTTTGTCCGCTCGTACGAGTGTTTCCAGCACAAGAACCACACGTGCCTCGTGTTTGAGATGCTGGAGCAGAACCTGTACGACTTCCTGAAGCACAGCAAGTTCAGTCCGCTGCTGCTCAAGTGCATTCGGCCCGTTCTGCAACAGGTCGCCACGGCCCTGATGAAGCTCAAGAGCCTGGGTTTGATCCACGCTGACCTGAAGCCTGAAAACATCATGCTGGTCGACCCTCTGAGGCAGCCGTACCGAGTGAAGGTCATCGATTTCGGCTCCGCCAGCCACGTGTCCAAAGCGGTTTGCTCCACCTACCTGCAGTCTCGATACTACAGGTGAGTACGTGCGCCTGAGCTGCGGAGCGGGAGCTCTTGAGTAACGCGTAAACCGCCTGCTGTGATCCTGTCCCGACATTACAACAGAGCGCCGGAGATCATTCTGGGCCTTCCTTTCTGCGAGGCGATCGACATGTGGTCGTTGGGGTGCGTCATCGCCGAGCTGTTTCTGGGATGGCCCCTTTATCCTGGCGCCTCAGAGTACGACCAGGTCAGCGACATCCACATGTGGGCACTCTGATCTGACACCATCGCCTCGCTGCCTCAAGCTATCAACTTAATCTTTTCTATTCTTTTTTAATTATTTTGGATTCTCCCCCTCAGATTCGTTACATTTCCCAGACGCAGGGCCTCCCTGCAGAGTACCTGCTGAGTGCCGGAACCAAGACCAGCCGCTTTTTCAACAGAGGCCCCGACTCGAGCTACCCTCTGTGGAGACTCAAAGTACGGGACTGCACAGAGATATTTACACTATGTGCTGCTGTACACGGCGTTTGCATGTTCGGGCCAATAATCTCTGTCTATATAAATATACTTGGATATAAAGTGATGTAATTAGATCAGGTTTCCATTCTAGGAGTATTGAGGTCAATGACCCAAAGAAATGTGGTTCCTTTGCCGGAAAGTATTTTTCTATTTTCTTTAGCGTCAAATTTGTGAGTATTTTTTACAACTTAATCATTTTTACGATAATTTTTTTTTTTTAAATATTTCCTTTTTAAAAGTAAATGTCATTAGTTTTGTTTTAACTGTGTTTTTGATGACACTAACAAAGTAAAAAGATAATTTCTGACAATCTGCACCTGGTTTTGGAACAATTTAAAATGATATTTTAGGACATTGGTGAAAAAGTCAATTATAGTCCTTACGTAAGAATCGTGATCTGTAGGCCAGACTTTTAAATAAATTCTCAATACGGCATCTCTGTAACTTTAAAAAAACTCTACAGCGGCCCTGATATGCCGCCGTAGTGAAATGAGGCTTTTTATGTTTCTGCAGACGCCTGCAGAGCACGAAGCAGAGATGGGCATCAAGTCCAAGGAGGCAAGGAAATACATCTTCAACTGTCTAGATGACATGATGCAGGTGAGGACGCAGCCGATTTACCTCGGATACGCCGGGTGTCTCAGTCTGCTCTCTTACTATCGCATGCATTTTGACGTGGTGTCACCGGGCGAGCCAGGACGCGCTTTCACAGAACCCGGACTTCCTGTCGCTCTGCAGGTGAACATGACAAACCTGGAGGGGACCGACGTCTTGGCAGAGAAGGCCGATCGGCGGGAGTTCATAGACCTGCTGAAGAAGATGTTGACGCTGGACGCAGACAAACGGATCACGCCCATGAAGACGCTGAGCCACCCCTTCGTTACCATGACACACCTGCTGCACTTCCCTCACAGCTCCCAGTAAGTTCTGCACCGGCGACAAGGAGGAGTTTGGTTGCGGCGGCTTTCGGGTTGGTTCTCTGGATTCCATCTTTGTTTCCTTTTTAAATTTTTTTTTTTTTTTACAGTGTGAAGTCCTGCTTCCAGAATATGGACATATGCAAACGCAGATGTAGCGCCTTTGAAAACGGCAAAAATGTGTTTGCCAGCAACAACACCCCGAGTGCAGCCGCCAACCTCACGGTCACCTTCAGTAGCCAACTCAACCAGCACAACCAGGTGAGAGCACCGCCCAACTGCCTCCTGCTCACCGTGCTCCTCAAGCCTAGTTTATGTTTTCAGAGCGACGCAGACGCAAGCCCTCCTTGCGTGTCCCTTGCGTGCCTTTTCACACCTCCTTGCGTGTGTCGAGACATTTTTCTAGGCTTGCGCCGCTTACGACGCAAGCGACGCAAGATTTTTAGGGTGAGGATCTTTTTACTGGTTATGAAACAGTCTCAATGTAATACTGTCAATGACACCTTCAGAGCGAAGATACCTACATACTTATTCCGTATACTTCTCAACAATTCTGTGCACATGGTTGTGGAACAGGTGAGATGTATCACTGCTTTGAGGCCTCTGGATTTCCTTTTGCATTGATGGGGACGTTTTCTGCCATGTGACACGTTTGCTGCAGATGGCCTCGGCGGGAGGCCCGTCCCTGTCCCTCAGCAGCAACGTGCCGTTGCTTAACTACCAGCCCGGCCTCTACCAGCAGGCCACCATCAACATTCCCGGCATAACCCAGCAGGGAGTACCGCTGCAGAGCAGACCCACGCAGCTCTGCGCCCAAGCCGAGCCCTTCCAGCAGACACTCATCGTTTGTCCTCCCACCATCCAGGGTACGAAGGCAACATGTTGGTGTCATTGGGCTTCAGTGAAAATAAACCGAGTAATTTGACCAACCAGGAACTAAAGGAAAGACATGTTTTATAGATATTTTGCTCTTCTTTTGTTTATTTTTTCATCCATGTTATCTTTACAGGTCTTCAGACAGCCAATAAGCCCTCTGGTTATCCAGTGAGGATGGACAACTCTGTACCCTTAGTTCCTCAGAACCAGTCGTCCCAGTCTCTGCACATCCAGCCCAGCATGTTGGCGCAGGTGGGAACCGCTGGAGGTTTTATTGAGTCTGATTCCAGTATTGAACACGTCAGTGGTAAATTGTAACTGAGCCTTACTTATTGCACAGGGCAAGAAAAGCACGACGTTTAGCTGCTTTGCATAGTGCTCATAATATAAGGTGGATACAAAAAACTTAATCCTGAGGCAAAGACTTCCTCTTTCTTGAGGATTCAAGACAATTTGGTGCATCTTCGAATGTGTTCTCTCAGTCGGTTAAGTAAGTGTAAGTAACGCCTCTTCCAAGGCTTCCTGTCTAGTGAAAGCACGTTTTTGTAAATATCAAAAGTAAGGACTGACTCATTTTAGAAATTAGTTAAATAAGTTAAACGTCTTTTCCCCCAAGATACCAAATATAGAACCTTTGTGCCTCCTACTGGTAGATTTAAAGAAGACAGAGATGCTCTCGAATCTTCCCAAAACATGTATTTCATTTAAAACTTTTAATTCTCTCCTCTCTTTGTCACTGTCCAGGATCACAGTGCTTTAAAAAAATGTTTTTTAAAGAAAGCAATACTTTTTGTTTGTGTGTGCATACAGCAGGGCTGGCCTGCAGGCACACAGCAGATCCTCATCCCTTCCACATGGCAGCAGATGCCAAGCATGGCCCTCCACCCCCCCGGGCAGGCAGCGGTGCCCGAGTCACCCATGGGAGCCCAGATACCCGACGGCCAACAAGCGTCTGGCTGGAGGTGAGTTCGCTCTGACGGGACTCTTCCCGTGTCTTCCTGCTGGGACTAAAAGCCCAGCTTCAGGTTCGGTCCGATGTTGCGATGAAATGGAGGGTTTTTCGAATTCAAAAAGTTGAGTGCACTCCTTCCTTTCGCAAAGGGGTCGTCATGGAAACCAATACGAGGGCCTCGGCCAGCAGGACGCCGGTGTGGGCCGCCACGCCGTCTCCCAAGGCCACCACCCGGGGGCCGCTCACTCCAGGTCCCAACAGGGAAAGAGGTCAAAGGCTCGACACGCCGAGAGCAAAGCCAGGTATTTTTTGGGGTCCTTCTATAAATTGTGCTTTTAGTGGTTTGATGCCTGGCTCCGTCTTACCCTTTGTTCAAAGACACTGAATTGATTTACTAACAAGTTTGTCTGTGTTTCCAAAGCGTAATATATCTTCTTCCTCTGTGCCATAGTGCTCTGTTATTTAAATGCTAATATAAAAACACATGTGCGCCACAGACCGCATGGAGATGTTGGAATGTAATCAGGGAATCTGGTTTTTGCATGGTATGTTTTGACAAAAAAAGATGGATTTACAATAACAAAACCGCAGCCTTGCAGGATACGGCTGGTGCCTTTTGGGTTCAAAACCCAAAGCTGTTCCATTTTATATGTCATAGTATGAGCTGGAGATGTTTTTATGTAAGAAACTGGAAGTTGAAAAGTTGATGTGGTTTTTGGCTTGAACACAAATGTGAAGGATAGATTTTTGAGCTGGTCGGTGATTTAACGAACCCCAAAATTACAAAAAAAGGCAGAAAAGGCAAATGAACGTCACATACTCACCCTTTTATGTATATACCACCTCATTTAATAAAACTACGATTATTTAATTACATTACATTAAAACTACTTCAAGCTGAACGTAAAATGCAACATAAACGCTTCCTAAAATGTTCCAATAGATTTAGCTTTTGCAATCAGGAAGTGACGGAGTGATCTCATTCCTCCTGCAGGCCTGTGTCGTCGGCCACCACCGCGGTCCACAACGCTTCTGCTCCAGCTGCCCAGTCTCAGCCCATCGTCATCTCGGACACGCCCAGCCCCGCCGTCAGCATCATCACCATCCACAGCGACTCGGAAGACGACGATGACAGGAAGTTCCCCGCTGCCTAGTGAGCGCTTTCCCTTTTTTTTTTTTTTGTGATACTAGAGCCTTCACAGAGATGTGAAAAATGTTGTATTTTTACTACCCCTCCTATTGTCTCTCGTAGCTCTGGGACAAGCCAGCGGGCCAACGTGATCAGCTGCGTCACCGTGCACGACTCCGACTCCTCCAACAGCAGCCCCCCGAGCGCCAAGACCACCTCGCAGCCCGCCAAGTCTTTGGCCGTCATCGCGCCATCTGTGAAGAACCAGCCGGCGGAGAGCACGATCCACAAAGCTCCTGCAGCTCCAGGTCCTCCAGGTCAGAGAGCCCCGAGTCTTTGTGTACATTCATTCAGTACTCATGACAACAATACTAACCGATGCATTGATATGCAAATCAATAAAAAAAACCTGCAGTTTGACAGGATAAACTGATCTGTAGCTGTGATATATCTTCTTCTTAGTGCTCACAATATCCTCTTGTTTTGCACTCGTAGATCAAGCTGGCTCTGGAAAAGCCAAGAAAGGCTCGACTCAGTCGTCCAGTCGGGCAGGAGATTCCAACTGCGAGCGCCATCAACGGGCCGCGTCCAGCAGGTCTCAGCCTCTCAACCTGAGTCAGGTAACAACTTTCAACCCGCACTTACCGCAGAGGTATTCAGAGCGACGCATATTAATTCGCTCCTGCAACGCAGCAGTCCAGATGTTGCCAGTGGTGCACCTTCGGCTGTGTCCTCGTCCTGCGTACGCGTGACTGTTTGTGAGCTTCCCTCTATGTGTCGTTTCAGGTGCAGCAGTCTGTGATGACGCCATCCCTCGATCAAACAGGAAGCAGTAGTTCCCTTAGGCGGCAGCCCACGTACCCCCCCGCCGCCTCGTCCTACCGGCTTCACGAGAACACCCTCTTCGGCTCGACCCCGAACCTGTACGCCTACCCGGCGTCTGCCGCCCTGGCGTCCGTGTCCCAAGCTGTGGACCAGATGCAAGGGGGGTCGTCCGGCCACGGGAGGGCGAGCGGAGCGTACCCTCCCCTGGCGCTGCTCCAGAAGAACGGCAGCCTGGCTCTGGCGACGCTGCCGGGACAGTACGGCAACCAACAGCAGCCGCAGCCGCAGCCGGGAGGGCAGGCATTCCACCACCACGCCGCCGCATACCAGCGGAAAGTTAACCAGTACCCGTACCTGTAGAGACTGAAGCGTTGCAGGTCAACCAAATGAAGCCTGAGACGCCAGACAAGCACAAGCTCACAACGCGCTGCTGTGATTCCACTTATAACTTTTCTTTGCTTTCCTGTTTTTTTTTTTTTTTTTTTTTTTTACAACTTTCTGAGATTATTTGGCATAAAGTAATCAGTATTTATATTTGAATCAATGTCGGTTTAAAAAAGGATATTCCAAGTTGGAGTTTCTTTGTGTCGCATACAGCAGGTTAAGAGCAACAAAGAGCAAGTGGATGAGCACAGGGCATTTTGAAATGAAAACAGGGTTTTAAAGCGCTGGCTTTCAGCTTTAATTCAAGCGCGTTTTTAACCACAACTGATGAAATGAGTAGAAATCTCAGCCCATCATACACGGTGCCCAAAGGGGACCAAACGTAAAGCTGCTACTTACAAACTGCCATGGTGTTTATTCATTATTTTATTTTAATGTAAAAAAGTAGTTTTGAGGAGAAACTGGAACTTACTGTTACGCTGATCTCTGTTGTTGTTGTTATTATTGTAATAATTATGATTAGCTAATTGTGTAAAAGTTGCATTTTACATTAATTTATATCTCCATAAGTCAATTTCTATTTTTAACTTGTCAATGTCAGGACATTGTGATAAACGAGATGTTTAATTTTACACCTCATGTTTTATGTTTTCTGTTTAAAAAAAAAAAAAAAGAAGCAAATAAGCAATGCTGTATTTTAATAATGTCTCACTGTGTTCTTCAACTATTCCATGTTGTTTCTGTTTTAGTGCTGGCCATTGACCTATAATATTTCTATGTGTAGTATGTGAATTGATTACATTTCAGCGCAGAGTAAGGTGGGATTCGGAAGGAGCTGTTGTGTTTCTTTGCAGTTACGGATATTCTTAAGGTTGCATGTGTCGGACATGAAGAAGCATTTGTGAAAGCTTCGTAAAAGATGCAGAGATTTTAAGCGTCGCTCGCAAAATGATGTATTATTAATATTAAGCTAAATTTGTACAACAAAAACACTTAGGATGTTGGGAAAATGTAGAAGCTCTTGTCTTGTTAAGTGATGTCTGTGAAGTAAACGCGTGCACATAAAAACATGGTTGGGTGCCACAGTCTCCTGTCAAAACTCCTGTCATGCAACTGTAAAATTCATTTGTTGTGCGTTTCAGTTTTGGATAATCAAATGTGACAAAAGAAAGATGTTTAAAAATTTAAATCAATGTTCAATATGTACTTGCTTCTATACAAATCATAGTTTTGTGAAAAAAATGTTTTTCCTACAACCCTGCTGCGATTCCACAGAACGCACAATGAACCTTAAGCCGTAATAAAATCCTCATTCATGGTTGAATCTTCTCAATTTATCATCCAGATACATTCACATCTGTACAGTTTTTAATCATAATATAATAATAATGAGCCAAACGGCAAAGACAAACATCTGGTTGCAGATACAGTTTGGCATTTTTGCGAGGGAAAAGAAACCCGCAGCAGGTTGGGATAATACTTACTACTTAACCTAATCCCAGCTGGTTTTGCTATCTGGAGTCCTTATTTAATTTAATAAAGGGTCATTGGATTGGACTAAATGCGATTCATATACGTTTTGTGAGAAACTTACCATTTAAAAAAATAAAAAATTAACCATTTTATTTGAAAAGCTGTGTCGAGTATTTGGTTTAATGAACACTAAAGGAAACTTTTTTACTTCCTTTTTTTATTGGGTTTCCCTTTTCCCACCGTTCCATTCATTATGGAGGAGACATTACGAAGAAAATCATGTAACGTGAATATTGCATGACAAGTCTATTATTCACTAAGGTGATCCATCAGCTCTGTAAATGAGCATCATTTATTTTTCAAATTGACATGGAATTAAATAGAAAAACAAAGGATAATGAACATTACAGACAAAGACAGAATGACATAAAATGAGCCCATTTCAAACCTCCCATGTTCCTCTGAGTTCTTAGATTTATAATGGGATCTTTTTGATTTGTCTCATTCATTTTCCTTTCATCCAGCATATTTTGTGTTGTCTACATTCTCCTGTGTGCACCAAGTTCAAACACCTGGGATAAACTCATGCAGCGTTGCCAGATGTTGGATAACGATCTTATTTGTGTGATCATTGTGAAATGGTTGACAGCACAATCCAAAATAAAAGGTCTTTTACACGTCTGTGTTGAGCAACTTAATCGGTGTCCTAACATACGGTTTATTTATTTTCTAAAACAATTAAAATAGAAAATACATGTCGCAGCAACAGCCCCCCATTTTATTCCACTGTTTCTTATCAATATGATAGTAAATAGAAATCTGTGGGTTTTGAAGTATTTAATGGTAAAAACTGAAATTTTTTACAAGCTTTTCCCATTTTGTTAACAGTGTGATTGATCTGTAATGGAGGTAATTCTTATTTGCATCCCTGAAAAATACCAAATTGAAGAAACCCAGGTGCTATTTAATTCATAAGAAATATTTATTATCAGTACATTTGCAATATATTTTATAAAGCTATGTCAATCCAACACCGTATCCAAACAGTTCACAAATTAGGGAATTGTAATGACATTGTTTGACCATGCATTTGCAAACAAGTGAAAATGTAAAGATGAACCAAAAGTGTTGCAGCTTACAAGTAAACGTTATGAAGAGTAAGCTTTCACACAAGGACCACCCTCTTACAGCAATTAAGCAAAAAAAAAGTTCAAAGATGAGGCTCATCCAAATTATACAAGTAAAATAAATAACTTCATCTGCAGCCGCATCATTGATCCACAATTGGATCGCCTTTAGCCGAGATCAAAACAAAAGGCCTTTCCATACATTTTGACCTGACACGGGTCATGTGAAAGCACGGGCTTTTCCTTCAGCAAGTCAAAATATCTGCAAGGAAGAAAGGTACATTGTTCCCACTCAGTTCATTGCCATTAAATCGTTAATGATGACCGAGAGGAATCAGCGAGTTATTCTTATTCTTTTTTCTCACCGTGTTGTAAGTAAGTAGGACGGATACAATCTATACAGGAAACTAATGGACCCCCCCCCCCCTCCCTCCCCCATGATGACAAAACCCCTTTTTGAATTTGGGCAAATTTGAGTGTGCGTCACCATAATATAACATAAGGGTTTTTCCTTTTAGCAGCATTATATACATTTCTTTTCTCCCTTGCCAGAGGCATTGGTGTGTGTGAGTATTTACGCTGTAGACAGAAACGCCGGCTAGAAAGACGGATCCAGTCGCTCTCCCCACTGCGACGGGAACGACAATATCTAGTCAGGGTTTAAAGTCCTCATATACACTTGTACACAATATGAGAATAATTCATTTTTCAGAACAGCCCGACGTCTAAAATAAAAGGCCGACCATGTTAAGTTTGATAGCTGGCATAAAGTCCAGGGCTGAAGGAAGGATCTATTATTGGAGTCAGCGGTTAAAATCAGAAAATTGCACACTAAAACCTCCCATCATTGGTTTGCCTGAGCACCCCCACCCCCCCTCCCCGCTGCTCCCAGCGACCTGGTCTCTGAAGCAGACGTCACCCTGGCTTTCTGAGAGGACCGAGAGGGAAAGTGTGTCCTCAGAACTCCTCGTGAACATTTCTGGCGTAATCCATGAGCTTGCTGCCCGTGAAGTATTCGCTGTACTTGAGGATCTCGTCCAGCTCCAAATTATGATTCTGGTTTTCATCGGCGACGGCGATCATCTGCTTGGCCTCGTTCAAAGCGTTGTGCTCGTTCATCGGGTCCATGTACTCCTGCACGAGCACAAATGAAAAAGGAGGGCAAAAGAAAGTCAGTGGTGATCAAATTCAAAATAAATCTTACTTAGAAAATACATATTTGCATCTTTGAAATGGTTGACAGCACAATTTGAGTCCTAATTCACCAATTTACTAAAACTTTTGAAAATACTGAATTGGAAAAAACAAATAGAATAAATTAAGCTTACCTCCAGCTCCTCCATGGTCACAATGGCATCGTGGTTCGAGTCAATGACGTCTTCAAACTCCTTCTTCCTCTCTCGGACCCAGTCATCGTCGATGTCCTGGGCCTGCTGGTTCTCCACGGTGCCCACAGGCAGAGAGATGAACTCTGACAGCGTCAACTTCTTATCGCCATCCTGGTCTACAAACAGGAGCAATTAGAGAGTAAACGTATCATTAGGTTTAGAAATGTTTTTCACATACAAACAAACAAATCAAAGACGTCACCTTGAGCTACGCGAACTGGTATTTGTTTTCCAGATCAAGCTAAATAAATGACTCAGTGTTCTGCAGATGAATGGTCCTGTGTAACTTTGATGTTACGAAACACACAAGTAGCAAATATTCTGTGCAAAGCTGGTTTGTGCAGATAAGTGACTAAGAAATGGGAAGTGGTTCAAGAGCAAGTTCCCCATTTTATACAAGATGAGCAAACTTTACCAGCTTGTATGCGAGTGAGGGTGACCCAGAGTTACAACATCTACATGCAGATTTAACACAGCGGACACATTTACAGCTTAACAGACAGATATTTCCCTAAAGAATGAGTTGAAATGCAAAACTGAGCTTTTGGACCCTTGGTGCTGATGTTTGTTTTGCTATGTGTATACTGGATGTGTAAGTAAGCTGCAGTTTGCTAAATAGTTTCCCGTAGCACCTTAAAAGGTGAAATATGTAAGGGTTGTTTTATGTTTGTTTCTGCTGCAGACAAGTGGGTAAAAATCAAACAAGTTCACCATTGATTCACATGATTCCGGCATTATGAAAGGAAAGAGTACCTAAGTCGCGCACAATCTCCCTGACCATGTATCTGAGCATCCCCCTGCTGTGCTCGGGATGAAGGAAGGAAAGGAACTCCTGTTCATTCAGCAACTGGTCACCTGGAGGGTTGTCAGCCTGGAACCAGCGGTCCTTCAGGCTTTCCAGAACCTCCTGAGCTGCAACGAGGAGACAATTCTCATTGAATTTTTTTCAGCACATATTCACAGATATATGTATAATGTTTTTAAGGATATCTCCATATTGTTATATACTTACTTTCCTCGTCAAGTTTCAGATCTTCGTTATTCTTTATCTTCTCAGCCGTTTCCTTTTCATTGAAACCTTTGCTGGCCAAAAATTTGACTCTGTATTCATCCCATGTCACATGACCTATGAACAAAGCACGAGTTGAGTATTTGGGTTTGTACTAAACAGAAAATATTCCTTAGTTTACGACACACGTCTGCATGCTTTGGATGAAAAGAGTCGTGACGCTGATGCTCTCGGTCTCTCTCTCTCTCACCGTCGCCATCTGGGTCAACGGCACGGAAGCTGTTCTTGTTCTCGACCATGGCCTCCTGGAAGTGCTCGTCGGTCTTCTCCATAATCCAGCGCTGCATCTCCTTGGCGCTAACACTCTTGTCCTTGTTGAAATCCACTCTGAAGATAGATTTATTGCTTATTATATATTATTATTATATTATAATTTGGGCATTAATCTATTGTGTGTGTGTATGTGTGTACTATCCTCTGTAATGACCCATATCACTTGTCTGGCGTGTGCCCAACAAGGTGCCTTTGACATGTTCATACCATTTTAGGTCAAATAAGCCGGGAGAAGGAGGAGGGAAGGGGGCTGCATGAAGTCATGGTGAAGGATAATATGAAAATATGGAGCGGCCTTTTTCCTTTGCCGTCATTGCCGGCTATAAAAATGGCAGCTTGCCTAGAGAAGTTATACTATGCAGAGACTATTTACTTGGCTTGTTCTTTATTCTTACTCTTCCTGCAGGTATTTTGATGACTCAGGTGCATTCTTAAGAAAAAACTATTGATTTTAAGGAACGGGATGTGTAGTAAACGTTGGGGTTTCCCGATACTCAATTCTCCTTCTCATTTGGTTGGTTTTACAATACTGTGTTGATGTGACAAACCTTCAGCTTCTCAGTGGCATGTATAGTAATCACAGAATATGTGGGCGTTTTCTGAAGGTTTGCACTTGCTATTTCTAAACACGGAGTTGTAGCTGTTGACTCCTTCAAAACCTGATCACTGATCAGCAGCTAGGCTCAAGCTAAAAGTAAAAAATGCTGCATCTCCTGGCTGAGGTTTAAAAGATGATGTCTTACTTGGTGAAAATGTCAATCAGCTTCTTCCTGTTCCTCCTTGGCTCAGAGTCCTCCTCAAACTCCTCAATCTCTTTACCCAGAAAAACCTCCTGGTGGAAGTCCTTATTGAGGTGGCCATCCAACTCCATCTTCACCCCGTTCAGGTGGTCCGCGGGGAGGATCTCGTTCTCGTCCTTGGTGGCTGGAGACTTGTCTTTAGCGGCGGACATGTTGGCTGGCCGTGCGTGCACATCCATGGCGTGGAGCAGGACGAAGACGAGCAGGGACACCGACAGGAGGTTTCTGCACCACAGTTTCCTCCAAACGGCCATGGTTTGCTAAAGAAGGATAAAAAAAAGGTAGCACGTTTTTGATTTTGAGAAATAACGTTAATTCGGAAAGTGTAAAGACATCAAGCAGAGTTGAGATGAAATCCTTTTGATGGACTCCTTTGAGCACACGCACAGTCACAGCATATTTGGACTTCCGCTGACGCATTACGCATTCTGGAAAGTCCAGTTTACGTAATCACACCACATTCCTGCACCGAGTAGCGCGCATGTTGATACACACACCGGTCACTCAATTAATTACACAAATATAAGCCACCAATTAACAAAAATCCATCACTTATGAATAAAACATCGTTTACTGAAAGCGTTGTGATGTCTAACGGACATGTTGTGTAACGATTCGTTTTTCTGACACTACAGTTATGGTTTTGGTTGTCAACCCGTAACGCTACACCAAGTCCAACTTGTTAACTTTTAACATTTTCCAGTAAGGAATTACAATATAATAAACAAGTATTATATATAACGGCCACTTAATATAAATACCTGTTCACTCGTGAGTTAAGGCAATTCGAATTATTTTAAACAGTACAACGCAGTTATATGTGTTAGCTAAGAGGCTAACACAAACAAGCTAATGCCAATACAACTAATAGCAGTTAACGGTAGCTTTAATGAATAAAAGGTAGAAAAAGAGACAATGACCAACCAATCGAGCACAGGGGCTAAAACGACCAGAGTGCGGAAGTTTACAAGACTTTAGATACCTAATGACGGTGTAAGTAATTAAGCAACATTACCAGCTGGCTAACGTTAGCTTGACTTCCTACTCGAACTGGTTTTGTCAGGCGAGCTGTCAAGACACCAGTTCCTGTACACGTTGCCTCCCAAAACTCGCCGACTCCTGAATGTGGGACGACTGGTTGTCAAAGCTCCTCCAAAGCGATACAGGTCGGGCTCTGATTGGTCTGTCCGATGTCCCAGTGAGTTCACTCGAGCTGTCAATGCAACGGGTCACCGAGTAGATGCTAATGCTGCTACAAATTTAGTTTTCTGTCACATTAAGACGACTTCCGGGTAGCGCTTTCAAGGTAAAGTCTATATTTTCACTAGCGATTATATATCCTAGAGTAGCTTATTCTTCCAGGTGGTAGCATTGTGTAGTAACTTAGCTAAACTATTTAAAAGCATAGAAGTCATTATTTGAATGAAACAGTTTTTTTTTTATTTAACTGCTCGTCCTCTCTAAAAACGGAACAGGTAGAAAGTGCTGGATAAAGCTATGGTTAGCATATGCTACAATAACAGTAGGCAAACTAACTTAGTACGTAGGCTAGACCATAAATTAAAGGGATGCATAAAATGGAATATAACAGATGAATGTATATGTAAGATATAGGCACTATTAACTAAATGTAATAGATACTTGTTAGAATGTCCAGTAAAAAATAACTAATAACAATTGTTGCTGAAAACAAATGGAGAATAGTAAATTATTACATAAAAGTATGGATAGTGGTTTAAATGCTTTATAAAGTTAATGTACCCGAAATAAAAATATTGAATTGTATAAACACATGCTTTATTGTTTTTAGTTTTTATTCCAACGAATCCGTTTGGATTTCTTGCTTTTATTTTGAAGGTGATCCTACCATATTTCCGGTAGTTTTGTTCTTCTGGCCTGTGAGCAGCTTGGTGTTGTTAGTTGCAACCTGCTCCGTCTGCACACAGACGTGCCAGCGGATGCAGGAACTGGGATGGCACCAGCATGAAGACACGCTGGAAAGGGACTGGTTGGGGTTTGTACTGCAGGAAACAGCCGCTGGGTGGCGCTGTGTTAAAATGTAAAATGAGTAGAGGCAAAAGCGGTCCAAACACATGGAAGTTTTGAATAATAAAAAGGTATGGTTGCTAACAACGAGTTTCAGAGGCCTGAATTCCTTTTCGACAATGACCCGATTGTAGGAATATCCAGACCAAAAATGTATTCACAACAACATTGTTATTTTGTGGAACCTGTACTTGAGTACTTGAAATATAAGTATTTACTTCAAATCTTTTTCTCTTTTTTTGAACTGAGCCTTCAGAAAAGTGAGACTACTCTGAATATGAAAACAGAATAAAACAAGCACGGATGCACTGTTGTACATGGCACAGTCAGTGTGCTTTGGCAGGCTTTCAAGCAGCAGATTAAACAAGATAATTCCCCGAGGCCACAAAACACCACGTTTCAATTCCTTGCTTGGATGTAAACAAAGGGCTTTGCTAGAGTAGTCTAATATTAAGCCAAAATGACAAACACACTTAGACAGATACACAACCTGATACACATCACAGACACACGTAACCCGTCTGCCAAAGAACCTCTTCAGCTTGAACTATGAGATCTATCATCCATGAGATAAAACAGAGCTGAATAACCCAGTGAGGTTGCCAATAGTAGCAAGGGAGAGAAACAGAGAAAAACAGTGTGAGAGAGACAGAGACGGGGAGGGGGGGGGGAGCGGGAGGGAGAACGGGTGATGATAAAACTTCACTGTGAGCGGTCCTGTGAGTTCAGTCTGAGCAGAGGAGGGAGACAGGGAGTGCAGAGGCAAACAGGGAGCTACCAGCCACCAGCAGATCACCGCTCTCCACTGCGCGAAAGTCGCACGTGGCCTTGGACTTGACGGCTTACTGGGAGAGTCGGCGGGGAGCACGTGCGTGGTGTCAGACGGGAAACGGATGAGCAACCCGTGACGGTTTATGATATCAGCGAAGATAAAGGAAGAGCAAACCGGACCTCGGCCGTCTCCTCTCTCGGGGGACTCTCTCTTGCAGGGTTGCGTGGTTTGCGGACAAGACAAGTTGAACTCTGAGCTGCACCTTCTGATGAAAGACGACATTTCGTGGCTCCTGCAGCTTTTCCCGCAACCACACAGCTTCGCCGGGCACCGGATCCACCGCCTAGTGTGAAGAACGGCCGGGCAGCAAGCCTGGGGGTGTGGGTGGGAAAGAGAATATTGCTTCTCCATCTCTATCGCCGCCACAGCCCACCCTCAGCTTTGGACACCCCTCCTCACTGCCTCTTCTTTTGCCCTCCCCTCCCACTCTGTTGTTCCCCCTCCCATCCCTCTGACTACACCTCACCCACCAACAGAGCAGAAAGCGTGAAAAATCTCACTAATGGGTTTATTTGCTGTCAGATCTGCGCCGATCTGTCATTCCCTTGGAGCGTTCTACTTGACACATTTCATAGTTGAGTAAGCCCTCCCAGTGCTCCGGTGCCCCCGCAACGTCGTGCCGGCTGAGGGCTCATCAAGAGGGGAGCGACATTGGCAGCAGTCATTCTGACGCTCTCTTGTACGGGGAGTCCCTGAAGCTGCATTCCTCCACTCTTCTACCCCCCCCCCCCCTCTCCCCCCTGTGGGATTCTGCGTTTGTGAGCATCCTCAGTTTCTGTCTAACTGAGTCCTCCAACTTCAAGATCCAGGCTGTTTCTGCAGGGGTTCTGCTGCCTGAGTTTGAAGCCAGCGTGAAGATGTGGTGTGGGGCTGGGCCTCTGGCCGTGGTGGCTGCAGTGCTTTGGACTCAATGTGTCCTCCTGGACGGGGTGGATGCCAAGAAAGAGAGAAAGAAGCTAAAGGAGGCCCCGCCGCAACAAACAGAGACGTACAATGCTACGTTTTCCAACAGTGAAGAGGTCGGTGGAAGCGCCAAGGTAAGACTCTTTCTTTTTTTCATATTTTACTTTATTAAATTCATGAGCTACTTGCTTATGATAACGTGCCAAGAGAAAGTGAGTGCAGGTTATAGTTTGAAGTCGAGCCGTTGGCAGATATGTGCAATGTGCGAGGCAAATCAATTGTGGCGAAGGTAAAAGCGATGGGAAGACAGGTGTGCCCCACAGGTCAAGCTCCAGACACGGAGACGGACCAAAATGTGTGAAACACTAAATGGATGACTTCCGGAGGTATGCCAGGAATGTAGACATCCGTAGGCTGATCAATGCATCAATTAGTGCACGCTGCGGGTGTCTTTCACCGCTTTTCCGGCTGGATAGAACAAATGAAGATGAAGGGTAGTTCCATGTATAAGATGCAATGAGGTGAAGTTAGGTAACTATAAATGCTGTTTCTGCAGCAGGACATTACGTTTTAAATTCAGTTGCAAATGCAAGAAAGCTTTTGCGATTCCTGTGAGCCAAAGAAATAAGCAATGTTGTTTACATCAGAAACGTATATACAGTAAAACTGCATAACACTGGTACAATTCAATTTTCAGGAGCAACCGTTGGCCCCTGACTCTTATTTATTGGTTTACTGCTGGTGTTGCATATTTGCCAGAGTTTCCAGCGGGCTATTTGTTTTGCTTTCAGCCCACCCATTACGTTGGCATTCTCGTTTAACTCTCGCTGCCCCGTGTACCAGCCTTCAGTTCCTAGCGGCCGCAAGCCTCTGGAATCTTCCCCGTAACCTTCGCCCCCCGAACACCTCTCCCACCCCCCAGAAACCGAGCAGTGAGGTCTCCTTTGTATCTTCCAACAACACATTGTAGGTGGTTGTCGCCTGGTGGTGTTTATTTGACTTGGTTTTTCCCTGTAAAAGCAGAGGCTATGAAGGATGACCTTGTGTCAACCCTCCTGCCCCTGCTGATGATTGCGGCCCACTGGGGTTTCACTCCTCCGCCCCGTCCCACGGGGGGAGACGGGTGTCTTTACAAACGCTTTTTTTCCCCCCAGGGTCCCTAATAGGCCCGCTGCCATGATGTAACTCCTGGGAAAGTTAGGTGGAGGGATATTTAAAGACCTCTGGCGTGTTGTTCCCAGCCCATTGATTCTGTCATTCACAGGCCTAGTCTGACTCCGCTGTGTCTGGGACATCCGATAGGGGCGGTGCGGCCCCAAAATCTGGGGCAGCATGCCGCGTAAGCCCCTCACAAAGCCCCATCCAAAGGGTCCTGAAAGAGAACACCTCGGGGAGGATTAGCCCCCCCCCCCCCCCCCCCCAGCAACTGTAAACCCTTCTGAGACGAATTTGTAATTTGCAATTTTGGGCTATGCAAAATGAAATAAATTGAATTGAATTGTTGGAAAAACTTGCGAAAACTGATTTTAATCTAGACAAAAACTGACTATATATCATATAGAGAGTGTAAAGCTCCAGCTGTCGTATCTCACTACTTATACTCATACCTAGGAAATGTAATGCTCTGGACGCAGTAAGTAACCGAATTAATTGGTAGCTACGACATACAAGCATCCCGCTAAGGTATTCTGGTGACGCTGTCACAGACTATTACGACTCGCATGACTTTCACAGGCACATAATGTTTATATCCTTCCTGATACCGACATTCATCTTATTTGACTTTACTTGATGGTATGACATTAGCATACCACTTTTATCCACATAATCTGAAACAAATGTGATTTAAGATAACCCAGTTGAGTAACCTTACCTAGTTTGTGACTAACTATGAGTACATAACCAACTATTTCCCTTAACGCTAAATTTCTAAATACAGTTTTTCTAAACGAAGAATGCAA